ATGCTCAGGTAGTGTAGATTAAAATCTGTTCAAATCATGACCCCTGGGGGTAGGGCGGGGCCAAAATGGCCGACTAAAGTTTTTAAAGATATATATAGGAAAATTCTTTAAAAATCATTTTCTAAAAAATAGCAAATCCATGTTTGGTCATGGGACTACTTTTGGATTTAACCTTCTACTTTTTCCTACCCTTAGTGCTCAGGTGAGCGATGTGGTCCATGGGCCTTTTGTCCTGTAGAAATTTTTCTCTTTTGGTGATACAGTATTTACAACAGCAAACAAAAGAAATATTAGAAATTCTCTGTTTGTTTCTTGTAGAAATTTAAGCTCACTTCCGCCACCTAAACTTGGATGGAATAAAAAGCCTCTTGCGACAGACCTCTCAGTGGCAGCAGATGTAGAAAGGATCCACTACTATAGAAATGAAGTTTATGGACATACCACTCGAGCACAAATATCATATTCTGAATTCCAAGTTATTTGGTTGGATCTCGAAAAGATATCTGAAAGATTTGATAAAAACAGACCGGGCAAAAACTATAAAAAGGTAAAACGGTTAAAAGATGAGTAGGTGGAATTCTTATTTTTAAAAATGGATGCTTCCTTTTCTGACAAGTGTAAGATGGAGTTATTTAAGAAATAAGTTACAAGTTTAGAAACTTCACTGGAAATTAAAGTGGGTTGGTCACTTAATAAAACCCTGTGAAGGCCGAATGTATTCATTTTGAATTAAAGATTGAGAAGTTCATAATGTATGAATACCTTTCTTTCAAGTGATCATTACTATTACCTGTAGTTATAACATACCATAGTAGGTTAATTTTAATTTTTTTTTTTTACCTAATTTAAAGTGATTGGTTATAATATATCACAGCCAGTTTAGTGTATTCTCTGTTTCCTTTTTATCTACTCTTTATTATTGAGAATCGTGAAAATTCTTTTTATTCTGTTACCAGAAACTGGTCGACTTGAGTCAATGCTGCATGGATGAAGAGATGAGGAAAGTCATGGAGGAGAAATTGAAGTCGAATACATTGTTAGAGGGTATAATTTAAAAATAAGTTTGATCTAATTTTGAACCAGTAATATTGTAATACCTTTAAAAATTTGTTCCTATACAAATCTATAGGGTAAAGAGTCTAACATTGTTAATGTTTTTCTGAAAGGGCATAAAAAAATCGATGTTGGACCGCTTACTTCACAGAATGGGCGGAGCTTAATCTCATTTTCATTCGTTGGTGTAAAACAGTGACAAACCTGATGTCACATCACTAAATACAGTACAAAATACATGTACAAAAAATAAAATTAAATGAAAGGTATAACAACCCGCCCCAGGCAGACAGTTTGGTTCTTGGGTCCGACAAAACGCTTGTTGCCCTAGAACTCAGTCAATAAGTGTATAATGTCTTCTATGCATTTTAATAGATTTCAAGTTAAACTGTCATTGAATAACATTTGGAACACGATATGTTTGTGAAACAATATACACCCGGCGGCAACAAATTTAAAAAAAACCCGTATTTTAGCATATAGGTAACAGATAAGGTCACAGGGTCATTGATCTTGGTGTCATTAGAAAAAAATTGATTAGTAAAGTATGCATACCAAATATGAAGTCTCCCATGATTCAAACATTATGCTGAAGGTTCAAAGAAGCTGTTTTTAGCATATAGGAAAGTCATAGTAACAGGGTTATTGGCCTTGGTGTCATGTGAAAGAGCTTAACTAGTGGAGTATACATGCCAAATATTAAGTCTATGTCTTTCTTCGTTCCAAAGTTATGGCAAAGGTTAAAGTTTGCTGTCAAAAAAGCCACATTTAGCGTAAAGGTCACAGTCAAGGTCACAAGGTCATTGACCTTGTTGTCATTTAAAAGAGCTTAATTAGTAGTGTATGCATACCAAACATAAGTCTCTGTTTTTTATGGTTCAAATGTTCTGCCGAAAGTTAAAGTCTGCAGAAAAAATCTTTTTAGCATATAGCTCACAGTCAAGATTACAAAGTCATTGTCCTTGGTGTCATTTGAAAGAGCTTAGTTAGTTGAGTAAAATACCAAATATGAAGTTTCAACCATTCATGGTTCAAAAGTTATGACGAAGGTTAAAGTTTGCAGACAAACAGACAGGCAGACAGACAGACAGGACAAAAACAATATACGCCTCGGATCTTTCAATGCGGGCGCATAAAAATCCAAAGAGACCTTTTGATTAAGATCAAGGTAATCATGCAAGAACGTCATGTGTTAATAGGCACTTGACATTTTTAATTTTCTTTTCATAATATTAAACGTAAATATTATATTATAGGGATTTAAAAAAAAATCTTTCAATTTTATATAAAAATAGTTCTCAAAATCGGAAAAAATTCACGAGTTACTATGTTAAGTTACGGAAGGATATTTAGGTCAATTGTTACTGTGTTCTTTAACGTTCCATTCGATAATTTTTTGACTTGCATAGATACGTCACCATCTACCGATCATGGGCTTCAAATTTCAGACCTATACTCGGCACTAAGGGCCATCGAATACCGAGAATTCATCATCGTGCAAACGGGAGCCTTGATATTTATGGTCTCATTCCAAAGGTCCGTGACTTACTTTGTAACGTCAAAAATTGATCCGGATTGAAAATTGTCTTGGGTTTCATATTACATACGGTGTGATTATTCACCATTAAAAACAAGATATGTTTATGAAACACTGATGCCTCTGTATGGCAACCTAGCGAAGATTAAACTATTCGAAATATGAAAGTAGGCCAAGGTTAAAGTTTTTCAAAAGTACGGAAATCTCCAAGGTCAAGGTCAGAATTCAAGGTTTTTGGTATCCAATGAAAGGTCTTTCAACAAAGAATATATATTGAAGTATATGTGGCCTGGTATCTACTGTTCAAAAGATATGACCAAAGAAACATTTTTGAATTTTTGTGTAAGAGGGAAAACTCCAAGGTCAAAGAGTCAAAGGTCTTGCTATCAAATGAAAGGTCTTGTCACAAGAATGAAATACGTAAAATATGAAAGCACTAGCCCAAATCTTTAAGGTTGTAGGCAAGGTGTTTTTTAAAAAGTAGGCCAAACTCAAAAGGTCAAAGTTCTTGGTATCCAAAAACCTACTACAGGCTATGCATTATATTATAAAAAAATAATCAACGAATATATTTCACTGTAAAACAGTGTAGGTGTCCAGATATTTGAAGTAAATTGTATTATTTTTATGCCCCCGTGAACGAATTTTAGTTTTTGTCGTGTCCGTCCGTCTGGCTATCTCTCTGTTTGTCTGTTTGTCCACAAAAACTTTAACCTTGCTCATAATCTTTGATGTAGTGGAGCTATGACTTTCATATTTCACTTGTGTATTCCTTGTACCAAGACCTTTCTGACCCATAATTTGAAAGCAGGACCTTTTACCTTGACTTTGGAGTTTGACCTACTTTTTAAAATATTTTACCTTGGCCATCAGATCTGAACAGTTAGGTTAGGCTACGGCTTCCACAATATACATGTACATATGTATGTTTTTTGGCAAGACATTTCATTTGATACCAATGACCTTGACCTGTAAGATTTCCGTACTTATAATTTTTTTTTTACCTTGGTCTATTTTCTTATTTCACAATTGTATTTCCAGTGAGAATACCCTACTTTTGGTTCCAATATTGGATTTGCATTAAAGAAAAGATAAATCTTTGCTATGTTGCCATACGGGGGCATCAGTGTCTCACAAACACATATGATACTTCATTTCTTCTGTTTGCTTCACATTTTATAATTTAACATTTTAAAGATAAATGAATACAAATAAACTAAAAGCTAAATATTAAACAAAAGACTTTATATAATGTTTTATATATATTTATAGAAGAAAAGAAGCAGCGACATTTGGTTGATGATTGGAAAATCCAGGACAAAAGATTCGCCGAGACCAGGGCTTGTAGAGCTGTCAGAGAAGAACTAAAGACAAAAAATATTGTAACTATTGTAGGTAATTCTGGATCTGGGAAATCATTTATAGCGCGTCACGTGGCGTTAGAATATCAAGCAGACGGTTGGCATGTATTTCCAATTGATCATGTTTTAGAATTTAAACGAATTGCAGACCCGTCCTCTCCACATCGACAGTTCTTTGTCTTGGATGACCCAGTTGGGAAATATTATTTAGACGAAGTTTTCTTCAATGAATGGTTAAAGATTGACAAATCTTTGAGCAAAATCTTTGTCAATAACAACATTAAAGTTGTGATCTCTTGTCGTAAGTCGGTAATGTGTGAAGTGACTTATGCATGTACGTTAAGTTCTAATGTTGTTGAAATCGATGATCAGAACCTGCAATTAGATAATGAAGAGAAAAAGAGAATTTTACAATGTTATGTAGGAAAAGATGTGCTTGGAGACAAAGAGATTGAAGTAATCATAGAAGCCACGCTACTTTTTCCGTTGTTATGCCGACTTTTTACTGAAAATGAATATACAAAAAGCGGAATTCAATTTTTCCAAAATCCAACTCCCGTGGTCAAAGGTGAAATAAATAAATACAAAGCAAGGAAGAAAGAGAAGTATTTAGCTCTTGTCCTTCTAGTCCTATATGGAGGCACTCTTGATAGTGACAAATTTCTGGATTTAAACCAGAGTAGATCAAAATTTGAAGAAATTTGTGAGGTTTGTGAAGTAGAAAGAAACATTTCAAGAGTTGTTATTGTTAACAATCTAGATTCTCTTGTTGGATCATTTGTACAAAAAGTGGGGTCAACGTTTAGTTTTCTGCATGATTTTCTGGAGGATGTAACAGGTTTTGTTTTTGGAGAACATTCTCCGGCAACATTACTTAAATACTGCAATTTGAAATTCATCAGACAAAAAGTACAGGTTATTACGAAAATTGACATGAATAACTATCAGGACAAAAATGAATTCTGTATAATCCTTGATGAAAAATATGTCGATTCTCTCGTGGATAGATTTTTAAAGGAAATATCTCTGAATAATGTTGTTGAAGTGTGTTTGTGTCCATCCCTACGTCATGAGAAAGTTATCCAATTTTTTTCGGATCGCATAGATGACCTTGCAACCGACAACTTTATAAACATATGGATAAGTTGCCAAAATCATCGTATAATATTACCATATTCGGACGCTGGTTTTGAAGAGGAGCGAAAATGTTTCGTGAGCAAAGTTAAAATAATTGAGGATGATCAAACACGTTCTGTATTGAATATTTTTTTAATGTACAATCATGATGAAATATGTGAATGCATCCTTGAAAGACTTAAAAATGAAAACTTTACATTAAATACTGTAGAAGGTAGGAAATTATTTTTAGCAAGCTGCATTAATGGAAACATTGAACTTGTACAAAGGGTAACATTTCTTTGTGGTGATGAAAATTGGGCGGAACATTCATATGACAAGGAATACTATATGCCTTTGCATCTTTCAGCAGCATTTAATAATATCAATATTTCTATTTTCATGCTGAAAATGAATTGTGATGTTAATTGTCATATTACTGGCTATACAGCATTACATTATGCCGTCTGTAATGGGCATTATGACTCGACAAAGATACTCCTAGAATACGAAGCCGATATTAACATGTGTTCAATGGATAACAATCGTACTGCGTTGTTTTGTGCATGTGAAGATGGGTTCGAGAATATAGTTCACTTACTCCTACAGTATGAAGCTGATGTGAACATTTGTCTTTCCAATGGCATGAGTCCCCTCTATGTAGCTTGTCACATGGGATTCTCGAACATCGTTAAAATTCTCCCTAAAAGAAAAAGCTATGTAAATTTATGTGGAAGCGGCGGTTGGAGTCCACTTTCTATTGCCTCCAGTATAGGTAATGTAAGAATTGTAGAAATACTCTTAGAATATAACGCTGATGTAAATTTATGTAATGAGGATGGCCAAAGTCCACTTTTCCAGGCTTCCAGCAAAGGTCATGTAGACGTTGTAGAAGTGCTTTTAAAAAATAAAGCTGATGTGAATTTATGTGATAATGATGGCCGGAGTCCACTTTACAGGGTTTCCTACAATGGACACAAAGACATTGTACAAACACTGTTAGAAAACAAAGCTAATGTTAATGTATGTAAAACTGATGGCCAAAGTCCACTTTATTGGGCTTCAAACAATGGACACAAAGACATTGTACAAATCCTCTTAGAAAACAAAGCCGATGTTAATTTATGTGATAATGATGGATGGAGTCCACTTCTACTGGCTTCCTACATTGGGCATATAAACATTGTACAAATACTCTTAGAAAACAAAGCTGATGTAAATTTATGTAATGAATATGGAAACAGTCCACTTTATTGGGCTTCCGACCAAGGACATGTAAACATTGTCCAAATACTCTTAGAAAACAAAGCCGATGTTAATTTATGTGATAATAATGGACGGAGTCCACTTTCAGGGGCTTCCTACAATGGACATATAAACACTGTGCAAATCCTCTTAGAAAACAGAGCCGATGTTAATTTATGTGATCATGATGGATGGAGTCCACTTCTACTGGCTTCCTACATTGGGCATATAAACATTGTACAAATACTCTTAGAAAACAAAGCTGATGTAAATTTATGTAATAAAAAAGGAAACAGTCCACTTCTACTGGCTTCCGACCAAGGACATGTAAACATTGTCCAAATACTCTTAGAAAACAAAGCTGATGTAAATTTATGTAATGAATATGGAAACAGTCCACTTTATTGGGCTTCCGACCAAGGACATGTAAACATTGTCCAAATACTCTTAGAAAACAAAGCTGATGTAAATTTATGTAATGAATATGGAAACAGTCCACTTTATTGGGCTTCCGACCAAGGACATGTAAACATTGTCCAAATACTCTTAGAAAACAAAGCCGATGTTAATTTATGTGATAATGATGGACGGAGTCCACTTTCAGGGGCTTCCTACAATGGACATATAAATACTGTGCAAATCCTCTTAGAAAACAGAGCCGATGTTAATTTATGTGATAATGATGGATGGAGTCCACTTCTACTGGCTTCCTACAATGGACATATAGACATTGTACAAATTCTTATAGAAAGCGAAGCCGATGTTAATTTATGTAATACTGATGGACGGAGTCCACTTTCAGGGGCTTCCTACAATGGACATATAAATACTGTGAAAATCCTCTTAGAAAACAGAGCCGATGTTAATTTATGTGATAATGATGGATGGAGTCCACTTCTACTGGCTTGCTGCAATGGACATATGAACATTGTACAAATCCTCTTAGAAAACAAAGCTGATGTTAATTTATGTGATAATGATGGTCAGAGTCCACTTTTTAGGGCTATCGACAAGGGTGATTTAAACGTTGTAGAAACACTCTTACAGAACAAGGCTGATGTAAATATGTGTGATAAAGATTGTTTTAGTGCCCTTCACATAGCTGCAGAGAAAGGCCATGAAGAAATTTTAAGTACTCTACTGAATTTAAAGCCAGTTTTGGGTTTTCAGTCAATCCATGATGGCTCAACTGCCCTCCATCTTGCAGTGGACAATTCACATGAAAAGGTTGTAGAACTTCTGCTGCAGCATAATGCTGCTATTGACACTGGAGATAAGCAGCATAGAACTGCATTGCACAGAGCTTGTCTTATTGGCAATCAGAACATCATCAATATTCTGATGCAGTTTAATGCCGATGCCACACAAAGGGATATTTTCAATGAAACGCCAATAGATTTGGCAAGAAGGGGGAAATTGATTAATATTGAACGATCCCTTATTGAGTACGTGAAAGAAAAGAAGTCTCTCACTGGCTCAATCTATCGAAAGGGAAATGCATCCAAGAAATGTATAATAATGTGAATACTTTTATTCTTTTGGGTTTCCACGCACAACTTCTTCTACTAAGAATGAGAAATGAAGTCATCTTTATTATTTTTAATTGATATGGGGTTGATATACATGTATATTCATATACTGTATTGGAACATGCGTTTTGGAACAGAAAGACATTTTATCAATTTTTAAACTAGTACAGTGTGTGACAGTTTTTTTTTGTAGAAATCATTTCTTCATCCGATCTTGATATTTACTCATCCGAAACACAGCCTTTTCTTAGGAAAAGTGTATATTTCTTTTGCACAGTATGAGGCTGATGCTGAAATCTGTACCGATGTCTCATAATCTTTTTATGTCTATTTCGTTCACCTATTTCGGTATATACTGTTAGAAAATCAAAATTTTGCCTTTAAATGTTACAAAAATTAATAATATTTTAATCACTATATTTTTGTGAAAAATACGAAACATTCCAGATAATTATTTTTTGATTGATACTAGTAGTATGAAGATTTTTTAATATTTGCCCTATTACATGTACTTCTTCAAGTCGTCGAAACTTTTATTATTGAAATAGTATTAACTCATTAGCTTATGATTTGAACATAATTTATTGTATAAATAATAAACAATTAAATGTGTTCAAAGCATAAGTTAATATCGTTAGCTTATATAGTGACAACTAAATATTTTTATTGTATTATCATGAAGTGAGTCAAAATAATTTTAAAATGATTTAGGCAACCTTGAAGAAATAAATTGTAGAAACTGTGTGTATTTGAGTTTGAAACGCTCAAAATAAAAGTTCTTTTACACTTTGATGAAATAATGTTTTAGACAAGATTTACAATGATTTTGTTGCTGTTGTTATTGCTTCTATCATTAAGGTAATCTACAAGTTCTAAAAATCATCCTGTATTTTAGTGGATAACAGAAAAATCTCAGAAAAATTTCTCTAAACTCACAAATTAATGTGAATATATTCGTGTTTATTCTTCAAAATTCATCATTATTGGTGTTTATAATACGAAGGGAAATTTTCAAATATCAAATATTTTTGTAGAAAATAAAAAAAAATTATTTTAAGATAACGAAAGTTTTTCATCAGGTTCCCCTGTTTGTATGGCATCCTATAATTTGAGGTTCTGTTACCAGAAAAACACTAATGTGGGGGTCATGTGACATGTCCCCGCTGAAGCCTTTGTTTGACTTTTCTGCATCTATGTTTGCTTACTTTTGGAAGTTGTATAAAACCTCCAAAAAATACATGTTTAAAATATTGCTTATGCTGTTAATTATAAAGTTGAACTAAATCGTATTTCAGTTTTTGTCATTTTTATATTAAATGTCATAAGATATTCTTTTCGTGTTTTATATATTCTTCCAGTTTCTGAACTTTTTGTAATTTTTCTGTTTCAACAATCTTGGTTTCATGAAAAACAGTCTTTGTACCACTTTTGTAAATTCTGAGTCGTGTTCTCTGATCTTCTCAGTACTTTGATTTTAAAAATAAATCTTTGATCGATGTTTACTAAGGAAATTTTTGCGGAAAACTTAATCAATGGTTTTATGCCTGTAGTATTTATGCTTATTTGTTTACATTGTATATATATTTGCTGATGACAATTACTGTAGTGATTTTGCTTTGCATGATTTTAAAGGTTAAAAATGATTTACGCAAATAATTCTATGTACTATGTTTTTTATCCCTAAAGCGAATAGTAAAGGCTTTATTTTGTATTATGTCGTTCTTATTTTGTGATATAATTTAACGATTCCTTGGAAGTTACTTGTTATCAATTTGCGATATTTTTTTTATTTTACGGTATGTCCTCTGCATTGTTAGAGATATGTGTGATCTGATAGTGAGAACTTTTCACTATGGTTTTAAAGGTACTTGGACACAGATTTGAAGTTAATTTTTTCTCTATAATATTACGACTTATATATTTTAATAGCTTATCACACAAAAATTTATTAAAAATCATTTTAAATTCAAAAGTTATTAAAACTTCAAATTTTATGGCGGGTTTGATTTAAGGAATAACTGTCTTATTTTTCGAATTCATGAAGTGATCAATGGATTGGCTTGTGTGATAATTTGCATAAACGCCGAAGGCGTTTATGCATAAAATTATCACACAAGCCAATCCATTGATCTTCTTCATGAATTCGAAAAATCTGACAGTTATTCCTTATATTTACATGCTTTGATTCCGCCAATCCACGGGCTCCAAGCCTGCTTCTCTCTAGGTGTTGTCCTGCCCTGCACGTGTTTTTTTTTTTTTTGGAACCGCGCCAAAACATTCATGAGGAAATATTTACATCCACTGAATATTTTTTCTTCTTTATTTCTTAAGAAAACCCATTGCATTCATCACTGCATGAACTACATTAGGCATATCACCTGTACAGATTTCTTGATCAATGGCCGTTCCATCAATGAAACGTACAAAGACGTTTGCATCATTAACACAATAATTAATATTTTTAACCCTACTTAAAATGATAATTTAAACAGATATAAATATAAACAATAAAATGTCTTTCTTTGTTTGTTATTACTGGAATGAACGGTCGCAGCTATTGCAGAAAAAATTTACATAACCCGCTTACGCGGGTTATGTATTTTTTCTGCAATAGCTGCTTCCGTTCATTCCAGTAATAACAAACAAAGAAAGCATTTTATTGTTTAAATAAATTACATTTACATTTGGTAATTTTATGTCGGACAAAGACATTGGAAATGTAAATATTGACACATCCTTGCACTTTCACAAATTTTAATTTTACTCTTAATACTTAGGAAAAGTGGCAATCTTGTTGTATATAAATGATAAATATTAATAGTATAATCCAGAAAATTCAGAGTAGACATGTTCGAAAGCAATACAAACACACAATATATTCTCAGTCCGTGCAGTTTTGGTGAACAGACTTCGACAATAAATCATAAACAGTCAACAATAACAGAGCTCTTGCCCTGTTTACAATAACTGTGTACATAACACGAGTGTGATCGATTTGCACACAACCCTTAGCTCGGAATGACGATACTTTTGAAGGAGTTTTGCCTTTCTAACATTTCTACTCTGAATAAAATTATTTTTCTGGATTAAAGTTTTAATATTTCTCACTTTCACACAACAAGATTGCCACTTGTCCGAAGGATTAAGAATAAAGTTAAAATTTGTGAAAGTGCAAGGATGTGTCAATCAAACCCGCCAAAAATTTTGGAAGTTTTAATAACTTTTAAATGAAATAAGATTTATAATTAATTTTTGTGAGAAATGCTATTGAAATATATAATTCGTGATATTATACAGTTTTTCTGAGAAAATATTAACTTCAAATCAGTGTCCAAGTACCTTTAATTTCCTGTACAATAAAGGTGTGAACCTAGTGAATTCACAACATCGTATTAATTTCACAATCTACTGTTTTCGAATATACGTAAATCTAACATTTTCTTATCGTACAAAATGTACAATTTATTACATAATTCAAATGAGACTGAATAAATAACAAACAAGAATGTCTTTTCTAGAATTTCTGTCTACACTTTTATTGTTTTGAGCATTGAGCAAGAAAAAATATTATTTGGGGAAAAAATAATCCAGAAAAAAACTATTCATAATATATTCGTACATCTTCATAAAATAGAGAACAATAAATAATCTTAATTTAATCATGCTTAACATCAAATCAAAAATAGATAAAGTGAATCACTGATTGCCAATGAAGTCATGTTAGGTCAACATTTCCCTAGGAGAAGGAATATTAAGGACAATTCTTGCATTTTTTCCAAGCTGATTTTGATTTTGATATCGGATTCTTTCACATTCACTAATTGTCACTTTCTGGAATCGCATCATATTAAATCATCACCAATCGAAATCACTCATTGTCTCGTATCTAGTCATCTGCACCTATCGGAATCAAACATCATCTCGTTACAAAACATCTTCACTAATCGGATTTAAATATTAACTTGTGTCTATTCATAATCACCAATCAGAATCACACATCATCATTTGTCTGGTCAAAACCGTCACATTCACCAATCAGAATCGCACATCATCTCGTGGTACTCCTTGTCCTCTATCAGCACAGAATCACGTTCAAGCAGCAGATCGTCCATGACATCGGAAGTAATCGGGTGTATTCTGCTTGGGATACACATAGCAGTCTGTTTCTTGTATGCTGCGTCACTTGCGAGACTTTCGGCGGAGACTTTGGATCTTGGCGGAGTTATAGAAGCAAACTGTTTTTCGCAGGGTTTTCCCCAGTCCACGTTTGATTTGGGTCGCCGTGAACTACGATGAATGGTTGATTCTCTCTTGGTGGACTTCTTACCGGCAAGTCCAACCTTGGCCTTTGTTCTCCTATTCGTCAACCATGTCTAAAGGTGAAACAACAACAACTTTAAAATGAACTCTTTTAGACATGAAAATCCCCGAATAATTCATTGTGTGACTACAGTTGACAACTCTTATTGTGACAACTCAAAACCAATATTCCTTCAACTGAAAGCATGGGAGAAAAATACTGTTGTGTTCCATTGAAAACTGTACATTCACTGATATTAATGAGTATATTGAGTGCAATTGGAATCGTGATATAAAATCTGTGGAGGAGAATCAGTAGTTTGAAGTTCATGAAATGCATAAATACTTCTTAAATTTTATAAATGACTTCATTTGTTCCAATTGTTTCAGTCCATTTATCAAATAAATTATCGATTCACAAACAATTGAAAAGAGAATTTGCCTTTTCGTTCACGAAAAATTATTATTATAAATCTATCTTTATCTAACTATCTATATTTGTAAGAGTTCTTAGACTTAAAGCAGATTGATTGGTTACATAGTACTTGTAAGTTTGGTATTAGCAGAGACCTAAAGCGAACCCGTCGCTTTAATTTTGGTCTATGGTATTAGACTGAAAAAAGGGTTTTTAGCCCTCAAAAAAAAGAAAAAAAATGGGAAACATTGGATCTCAAGTCTTTAGATTTTGAAAAGATTACCCTTAGTCTTTTGATATTTTCACCGCTGTCTTCTGCAACAATCTGTAAATCGTAATTACTTGGATAAGGAGCCA